GGTTGGGAGAGGAGGGGACGGGTATATGCGTACACAAAGAGTGCGATGCGCACCATCAGGAGATGGACACGCTTGAAGCTCGGACTTGGAGGGGGGAGGGCAACATACGTAACCTAAACATCTATACCCCCATAATATGGTGAAATAAAAAAAAAAAAAAAGGATGCACACAATGTGTTTGACACTGAAAGAAATGCTTTGACTGAGGCAGAAAACACAAAGGGGACTCAAAAAGACAGTATCAGGCAGATACCATCCTGTGGCAGGTATTAAATTCCAGGACAAGGAGAACCACAGAAAATAAGCAGCTTCTGAAAACACTTTAAGCAGTGACACAACAAAGCTGTATTTCAGGAATACCTCCATTTACCTTTGTCACTGTGTTCAGATTGTTTGTGCTAAAGATAAATATCTTATTTTAAATACAGAATTATGGTTAGCAAAATATTGTCAGTTTCTGTGAGATGGTAACAGAGGTCCAAAATATCTTATTAAAAAATCTTAGGTAGGGGGCAGCCATATTTCAGAATTCAGACTTTTAAAAAAATATTTAGAAAGGTTAACACATTGCACATAGCATATTCACCTCAGTTTGGGTCCAAGGCAGCACTTCATTGCCAAACATGTTAATATTTTGCAATAAAACATGCAAGTATTCCCACAAAATAGGATAAATAAAGACTACAAACAGTTTCACACTGCTTCAGGTCAGGTTTTCCACCAACTGAAATAACAAAAGCAACATTTGGTTTTCAGAGCTTTTTGGATTTCAGACGTACAGATCAAGGATTATAGATCAGAAGTACTTTGCTCATCTTTACTCCAACTCCTTAACAAAACTGGGGTTTGCATCAATGTTAACGTTGCTTAAAGTACAAGGAACGGTCTTAGAAGACGACGACAAAGGACATACTATTATACAAGGAAAACTACAAAACAGTGATGAAAGAAATCATAGACGACACAAACAAATGGGAAAACATCTCACGCTTATGGATTGGAAGAATCAATATTAAAATCAATTAAGAATCAATATTAAAATGACCATACTGCCGAAAGGAGTCTACAGATTCAGCGCAATTCCTACCAAAATATCAATGTTATTTTTCACAGAATTAAGAA